GATCAGTCCTGTACTGGCCTCCCAGACAGCAGTCTGGGGTTGATGTGCTTCCCCTCATTCAGGCCAACTGTTTCTGTGGGTTAAAGATTTCTTTTTCTTTTTCTTTTTTTTTTTTTTTTTTTTTTTTTTTTTTTTTTTTTTTTTTTTTTTTTTTTGGTTTTTCGAGACAGGGTTTCTCTGTGTAGCTTTGGAGCCTATCCTGGCACTCGCTCTGGAGACCAGGCTGGCCTCGAACTCACAGAGATGCGCCTGCCTCTGCCTCCCGAGTACTGGGATTAAAGGCATGTGCCATCAACGCCCAGCTGCTTGAAACATTCTCAAAATAACTTTTTCCCTAAGTGCTGCTGGTGCATTCTTCCTGGGCACAGTCTGCACAGCTTGTTTAGGCCAAGGTACTTGAATACATGAGGGTGCAGAGGGAGTAGCTCAGGTGTGTTGTGTTGACAGTAGGCCTAGCTTGCTGACCTTGATGGAGAAACGGTGAGAGAGGAGACAGACAATGAAAGCCCATGCATGTCCCACAAAAAGAAGGGATTTTGGTCTTCTTTTTTTGTTTTGTTTTTTGTTTGTTTGCTTGTTTTGTTTGGTTTGTCAGTGACACTGTACATTCCCATGCAGGCACAGACTCTCCAGAGGTTTCAGGGTGAGCTCAGCTCACTCCTATTTCTTTAGCATGCAAAATTCCATTGTCAGAATTTGGAGGAGTGTGCATTGAATTTCTATCTTTAACATTAAAAGAAAAGGCATCCTGTTTCACGTAAACTTCTTGCATGAAACTTTGTTCATTGGCACAAATTGACACATGGACTTTGGTTTGTTCTGGAAACAACCTCTTCAGGTTATACTAGGTACCATTCATGGTTCCAGTGTCCAACCTGGAACTGACGGGTGGAGCAGTGGAAGGAATCTTAGGGGCTATTCTGTTGACTTGTCAGTTCCCTGACAGCAAATGCTTTGAGTTCCAGTTTACTCTGGAAAACAGTCTAATATATTCTATTCTGTACTTTCCCAGGAACCCTATCATAACCAAGTGTTTATGAGATTGAACTTTGTATTTGTATTTTAAAGTAATAGATAATATGCAAGCATTTTAACCTCTAATGGAAATTCTTTTCATTTTTATTTTCAAAAAGATAATTGTCACGATCATACTGTCACTGGTTATTGGTGCCATTTACTTTGACCTGAAACATGATCGCGCTGGAATCCAGAATAGGTAAGTAAATTCGGATTCCCCCCCCCCCCCCCATTCTGTAGGATAGAAATTAGCATGGATTAGTCCTAAGCAAAAGGAAAGTAGAAAGTTCATTTTAGAAAAGAGGTACAGAAGTAAAGCAACCATATTTGGGTCTTGGTTTTGATAGAGTTCTTTCTTTAAGCTTATGAATATTGATAAAGGGTTTAAACTTAATACAAGTTCAGGGTAAATGTCACTGTTTCTTTGTGGGTGGGAATGAACTGGTGACTTGGCTTTTTCATACACACAAATCACACAAATGTGTATGTTTTGATGTAACCATACAAAAATTAAATATATCCCTTTAACCAGTTTTAAGTATTTGTAGTCCAGTGGCATTAAGAACATTCACACTGTTGTATCACTTGACAGCATCCAACTCCAGATGATCCACCTTATACATTAAATTCAATCCTTTAAAGTAATTACTCAGTGCCTGCCTCACCTCACTGCCTGAGATGTACCATCCTACATTGTGTCTCTCAGTGTAACTACTCTAAAAGCTTGCTATATGTGGTGTCCTAAGTATGTGTCCTTTGATGACTGATTATTTCGCTTAGTATAATGTTTTAATGGTTGCTCTGTTTTTTGCAGCTTAGTCAGAATTATTTTCCTCTCTAAAGCTGATTTAGGTGTGTGTGTGTGTGTGTGTGTGTGTGTGTGTGTGTGTGTGTGTGTGTGCGCGCGCGCGCGCGCGTGTGCGCGCGCTCGCTCACATTCACTCTATATATTTTGTTGGTTTATCCAGTTACCTGTTCCTGAAAATTTGTGTTGCTTCCACCATTTGATTGTTGTGAATGATGTTATGACTCTACAAGTTTCTTTTGTATCCCTGCTTTCAGTTCTCTCAGGAACCTTACCAGTAGAATTGCTAAATTGTGATAATTTTTTAAGGAAATGGCAAGTTTGTCTTCCATAACAGCTGTACCATTTTGCATTCTTGGCTGTAGCACACAGGTGATTCAGTTATTTTTAATAATAAAGATCAATGTAATCTTTGAGAAATATTACATTTAGTTCTTTGTCTATTTTTTTAATTTGTTGTTGGGTTTTAAGAATCCTTTATTTTTGGGGGGCTATTTTCCTCATCAGATAAGTGTCTTATAAGTATTTTCTCTAATTCTATACAATGTTTTCTCTGTGTGTTGGTAGTATCTGTTAATGCATGCATGCTTTTGATTTTGGTATGATTTGTTTTTGTCTATTGCTTGTGAGACGACTTCCCTATATAGGTTATGACTTCTTTGACTTGAAAGTTGAGTACTAACTCTTTGATATGATAAGGTGTAGATTCAGTAATAATTGTGTCCTTGAAAAAAAGTTAAAGACTTGTGTGTGTTTGGGGGTTTTGCCTGTATGTGTGTCTGTGCACCATAGTGTGTACCTGGTGCCTGAGGATGCCAGAAGAGGGTGTCAGATTGCTTAAAACTGGAATTACAGATGCTTGTGAGCAACCATGTGGGTCCTCTGGAAGAGCAGCCACTGCTCTTAGCCACTGAAATATCTCTCCCACACATCCTTGACAATTTTGTTTTCATAATGACTGAATTTTAATTTTTTTGTTTTTTTGAGATGGAAGTTTTACTATGATTCCCAGGCTGGCTTGAACTCCTCATCTGAAGTTATTGATGTTCTTGCCTCCGCCTCCCTAGTAGCTGTTACTGAAGTTAGCTTTACACTGTGGTGTTTTAATTGCTGGTTGTGCTGTAAGTATGTGTGCTCAGTAATAGCACTGACCTCAGAGTCCTAGTCCATGTCATGATTCACAAATTGAGAACCACTGCTTGCAATGGATATGAACTCCATGGTTGGCATCCACAGCCTCAGGTCAGCACCATCCAGAGCCCAGTGTGGGTAGATGGTATTATTGACATTTTACTGTAGAGGACTATTGAATTTGTTTCATGTCTGGAAAGGGCAGATTCTTTTTTTTTTTTTTTTTAATCTGTATAAAAGGATATCATTCAGGTCAAATAAGTTTTCTGCACAGAGTCAGTTAGTAGTATTCTAATCATTGTTTTTACTTCCCTTGAAGGCTGAGATAACAAGACTATTTCCGAAATTGCTAGTAATCAGTGTTTTCTGGGGTGCTATTTCTTGAGTTAACACAGCATATACATAAGAACTAGAGGCTGTGGGCTCTGTACATTGTGTAGTATTGGGGAAATAGCTGAGCCGAAAGCAATGGCTCAGAGGTTAAGAGCACATATTGCTCTTTTAGGGCCTTGAGTTTAGTTCCAGTTTTAAGCAAATTTCCAAATTATGTTGGGCTTTATCTTAGTTTGTTTCTTTTTCTGTCTTTCTTTCTTTCTTTCTTCCTCCCTCCCTCCCTCCCTCCCTCCCCCCCCTCTCTCTTATAAAACACTTTGACCAAAAAGCAACTTAGAGAAGAAAGATTTCAATTCTTCTGTAAAGTCTATTATTGTGGGGAAGTCAAGGCAAGAACTTAAAG